CCCTCTTCTTTCTTCTTCTAGTTGAGCTCTGATCATCCAGTCATTGAAGCCTGGTCAAGTGGGTATTATCTGCAAGTGTGGGTGTTCTTGTGCATGGTCCTCTCTTCTTATCAGCTGGATGCTTCACTCTCCACTCTAGTCCTGTGACTATGTCACTGACTCTGGGCCCAAGAGTCCCCAGGTCTTGCCACACTACTGGCCAACCAGGTCTCCACCCGGGTTCACAAGAGTCTATTGAATGTTGTAGGGCTTAGCTCGCAGCTTCATTGCTGTTTTCCCCTTACTTCCCCTTATCGGTGACAAACAAGGTCACCAATCAGAGCTGTAAAGGGTTTTTGAACAAAAGTTGACCACCTGCTATCTCTTCAGTTCTGACTCATGGCAACCCCATGTGTGCCAGAGTAGAACTGGCCCTATATGGTTTTCGGTGACTGGTTTGTCAGAAGTAAATCCCCAGCCCATACTTCTAAGGTGCCTCAAGGTTGATTTGAATTTCCAACCATTCAGTTAGGAGCCAAGGGCAGTAACTGTTTATGTCAGCCAGGTACTCCTATGGGGCCTTACTCTGCTGAGGGCAATGAATACAAAGATGAAGGAGGCACAGGGCCTGAACTCTAGCAGCCTTGCAGGAAGGCAGATTCAAACTCTGGAGAAAGATAGGGCCAACCGATGTACTGTGGAGTGGTAAAGATGGTACGGCCTTGAGTGAGCCGTTAAGCCTCTAAGGAAGGAGGCAATAGACTGACTGGGGTGGCGGTGCTTTCAGCCTCAGGACACAGATAATACCATCATTCCATGAGGGGGAGCTTCAAACACTACATAAAAGGGTCCTCTTCTTACAGTTCATTCTTTCCCCACAGTGGGTGGAGAACGATACTCCAAGAAGTGGTTTTACAAAAGCCTCCAGGTAACCAAATGAAGCTCTTGTCAGTGCTGGAAAAACTGCACAAAGAGCTCTCTGCAGAGTGCAGGCTAATGGAGGTTAAATACAGAAACACTATTGGGTCTCTGCAATACCCAGAGCCTGGATTTTAAACAGACGTGGTTTGAAAACAGACGTGGTAACTCATCCTGTCAGCACATCCCTCAGCCCCTTCACTTAGAAGTCTGCTATGAACTCCAAGCAAGCCCCAACCTGTCATGGTAAAGGCCTGGAATTACTTCCGTAACTACTGTAAACAAAAAAGCAAGATGAAAGAGATCTGTTATCCTGGAAATAGAAGTTTCCCAGCCAGGATGAATTGTCAAACAGAAATAACCAAAGTAAAACCTTTTATCTGACTTGGTCATTCTTCAGGTTTGGAACTAAACTAAACCCTCCTCAAAATTTGGATCAATTTTCAATCAAACAATCGATGGATCTATAAGGGAAACGATAACATTAGTGAGGTTCTCAGACCTTATGATAATCAATCGTTCGAAGTCAAAGGCAGCGGTTACTCAAGGACAAAGTTCAGAAGGGTTAGGAAAGACAGCGGAATAAGACAAGAAAGATTGGGAGGAAGTGGGGTAAGCGATATTACATTGAGGGGAATGCAATCAATGAGATGAAACAAACTGTGAATGAAAACCTGTAAACCTTCACCCAATTCACAAACAAAAGTTAAAAAAGAAAACCTTTTATCTGACTTTAGCAAATACTACTAACTTCATGTCATTTCCATTACTTCACATATATCATCTTCACATAAAATAGGTGTTCATAGGAAATATTAATGTTCCAGTTTCAGGCCACTATTTTAACCATCTTTCTCTTGCCTCATAGACATGCTTCATTTTCCTACACATCTCCCTTTCTAGAATGCCTTCTCAACCCAACGTCAAACAATGGAACCAAGAGTGAAAAGAGAAATCAGAAAAAGTAGGTTACAACAAAAAGAGAGGAGTATTTAACCTTACATTCTAGGAACAGAGGACCCTAGGACCATCAAGAGAGAAGAGCATGAGTGGAATATGGGATCCTAACCAGAAGAGCAGTGACACCAGTGATGGAGGCAGATGTGATGGCATGGATAGATACTGCAGCCGAGGACTCTAGACTCATGGAAAGAGAAAGGCTGTGTGCTGGTAGCCAGAAGGCAGGCTTGCAGAATGTGCCCTTTGGTTGTTTAAATGATTATATATATCCCTTTGTGTTTTTGTGTACATAAAAAAAAGGGGGGGGGGCGGGGATAGATGCAAATACTAACTGATGGTGCATGGAGGGAACTGTAATTATTGCATCGAAACAAAAGATGATTGCTTGAGTGCAAAGCCGATGTTCTCCCATGTAAACTACCTCTCAATTCAAAATAAAAGCATTTAAAAATAATAATAATGATAGAATATAAAGCATAAAAATATATTAAATCAGCTGATAGAGTCCTGGTGTGGCACTGTGGGTTAATGTGCTGGACTGCAAAGTCATTTGAACTGCAATGTCAGCAGTTCAAGCTCACTAGCCACTCCTTGGAAACCCTATACAGGGTTACTATGGGTCAGAACTGACTTGAAGGCACTTAGTAACAACAAATATTAACTTGAGAAATATCATACACAGGCCAATGTGATCTGTAAATGTGGAAGCATGGCAAAATTATTTTTGTAAAATAAGAATTAAAATATAAAAGTACAAACAAATAAACAAAAAAGTAGGTTATAAGTACTGGAAGAGGTCAGGGCAGTTAAATCCTACCAAAAGCCTAAGAGTTTGGGGGAGGATATTCAGTCATAAAGAACAGGAAACAGATTTTCTTTCTGGTTCTATCATTTCAAAATTCTTGTACATCACTGTTTGTCATCTGTAAAACGTAGGCTGCACCCACCTACCCTTCTATCATGTGGACACATAGAGCATGGTTCCAATTAATTATAGATGAGCCAATTAATTATAATTGGTGATGGGCTATTGATCTAAAGTACGTTGGATCACACATTTTTGCTTATTTCAAAGAAGGGGAACTTTCAAAGAAAAGCATTCCACTTTAACAATAACCAAAACAACCAGGAAACTTGAGACGTTCCCAAACAGGAACCTACCTCTTGATCGGTGAAAATCTCTATAAAGTTCTGGAAGGAGAAAGAGCCGGACTGGAGAATGAGCTCGCCAGTATTTTCAAAGCACTGTCCCGTCAGCACGAGCAGCTTGTGTCGGGCTGCGTCCGTGATCATTAAGCGCACCTGGAATAAAGTATAGGGAGCAGGGGGTGAGCCACAAGCAGCACTGCCTCCCCCCTTCAGAACAAGTCTCTGAAGTACTTGATGTGCATTACCAAAAAAACAAAAAACTCATTCCCTGGCACTCTTATTTCCCTTAGGGAGGTTGAACAGAGTTCTGCCTGGCACCATCATCCACAAAGTCTATGACTGTCGCTGCTAGCTTGCTCATGAATGCCATTTTCAACATTCTGTTACAACCATGATAGTAGCATTCATTGACTTTCTTCCCATAGTTCCCTCCTCTTTTTCAAAGCAGTCTTCACAACTGGCACACAGCTGCTTGGAAGTGTCTGCTAACAGCATATGGTCCGTGGGACAAAGGAAGTCTTCGAAGTATCTTACATGAGGCCCTAAGCATTGTCCAGGTCCCTAACTGCCTAGGGAAGCACAGGCTTCCAAGTAAGGTCCCAAGTCAGCCCTCCATCCCCTCCAGGACCCTTTTCCTTCTAAGCCATACATGAGCACATAGCTCCAGATATGGTCTACAATGAGATCAGCATTGTAAACAACGTAAAAAAAAAAAAAAAAAAAAAAGGCTGCTTCTGAATGGGAGTCTTTTAAATAGAATTGTAAGTGGTCTGCACTAAAGAATTTTTTGTGAACTTTAAGAAGTGGCAGGAAGCCAGCCTGCCCTTCTGTATAAACAGGGCTCTAAGCACCAAGATATTCACTTAGAACCCTAATCAGCTCAGCACCTCTTCCGTGTCAGGCATCACGGTAGACACCAATGGAGAGAGAGAAACTTAACCAAGTCATGACTCCTTCCCCCAAACACCCCACAGTCTAATCATGGAAAAACACATGTGCGTATGTGATTGTTTCAGCCCCATCTGCTCCACAGGCAAAACTGAATTCCTTATTTTTCCTTTTCCATTTTCACAGCTGTCCTAGGCAGTCTGCCTAAATATGTACATATAGTAAATCTACCAGGTTGTTTCAACTATAATTACTTCCTGATTCTATTAGACACAGAGACATTGCTATTCTATCATTTTCCTCAACCTTGAGCCTTATGGAATTGTCAAAGAGGTCCTGCAGATCTGAAGTAGGCAGAAGTGTATTTGAAACAGGACTAATCATGGTAGCCAAAAAATGGACATACCCAAATGCCCATCAGTTGATGAGCATATAAACAAAAGATGGTATGTCCGTGCAATAGAATAGTATGCAGCCATGAAACGGAACGAAGTACTGGTATACATTACTGCATGAGTGGACCTTAACAATGTTATGCTAAGTGAGAGAAAGCAGACACAAGAGGCCACATATGTGATGCCACTTATGAAAAATCCAGAATTGGCAAATCTACAGAGACAAAGATTTGTGGTTGCCAGGAGCTAAGGAGACTGAGAAATAGGATTTTCTAGGGTTGATGAAAATGTTCTAGAATTATATAATGATGACAACCATATAACTTTGTGACAATACTAAAATTAACTGAATTTTCCCACATTCAAAGAGTAGATTTTGTGGTATGAATTATATCTCTATTTTTAAAAAGCAGGCTACAGTCAAAGAGATGCTCAATCATGGGCAGAGGAGACACTGGGTAATGGAAGATCCCTGAGGACGTTGTGCATCTTAATGTTTATGAAGCAACTCTATCTCGAAGATGACCAGGGATCCCTGGGTTTACCCAACTTCTTATCTTAAAGTAGCTTTGAAGCACCCAGTTACTCTCTGGCAACAATTCCACCCACGGTAATAATAACATGAACTAACAATGTTGTTGTTGTTAAGTGCCGTCGAGTCGGTTCCGACCCATAGCGACCCTGTACAGGGTTTCCAAGGGTGTAAATCCTTACGGGAGTAGAAAGCCTCATCTTTCTCCTGTGGAGCGGCTGGTAGTTTCAAACCGCTGACCTTAAGGTTCGCAGCCCGATTCGTATATTTCAGTTATTACATGCTATACTCTGCTCTAAGCACTTGACATTTCTAATTACAATATTAGCTATGAATATTGAAGGCAGGCACTCTAATGACCTTCATGTCATAGAGGTATAAATGGCATCCAAAAGGCAGTAAGTAACTGGAAGTTCTGGAAGGCCACTCAGCTAGTAAATGGCAGACTTGGGATTATGAAGCCAAGCCATCGGGCACGAGGGTCCATGCTCTTGACCACTACATCATCCCCGCCTTTCAGGAAAGCTCTGAATGGACCTTTCATCAGAAAAAGCATTCCTCTCCAAACTTGGTTCCAGTATTTTCCAAGGGCTTAGAATCGATTTTCACTACCACATTCCTTCCAGATGCCAATATACCAACAACATCACCACTCTCCATACACACAAGAGAACTTCGAAAAATTTGTGAAAAAAAATCCATTATCTTTTCATCCCATTTTTCCACAAACTTTTTGAAGGCACCTTGTACTCAAAATTTAAAAAAAAAAAAAGTTTTATTGTGAATTATGTTATAGTTTACATGGGAGAATGTTAGCTTTACATTTATCCTACCATATATCATTTCATTGCCATGGTTACAATCTCCTCCATGCATCATCAACCAACCAAAGGGTATACCCTGCAAGCCTGCTCCCAGGTCATTAGCACACAATCCCTCTCCCTCTCTGGGTCTAGAGTCCCCAGCCGCTCCATCTCTCCACGTCATCATCTCTGCCTCCATCTCTGGCATCACTGCTTCTCTGGGTAGGGTCCTGCACTCTGCTCTTCTCCCTTGATGGTCCCATGGACTCTGCTCCTGGACTGCAAAGTCAACCACATCCCTCCTTTTGCTAAATAATGTCTACCTTTACATTTACAACCCTCATAGTCAGTCCTGGTAGCAATTATTCACTATTGTACCCCATGGTACTCATGATTTTATACTCCCTTCCCTCAACAAAACATTACTGTCCCAGCCAGCATCTTCCACTTCACCCTTAATGTAAGGGAAGAGAGCTGCTTCACATACAGAGTAACTGGACTTGGGAGGGGTGCTGATGCAGAGAATGGCCACTGAGGAAGCATCCTTGGGCTGGGACTTCTCTCTTCTGTGTCTCTCCCCTGGTCCCTACTTGCCCCACCCTTCCAATCAGTTCTGTCCTGTCCTACATTGTGAGTCCCTTCCAAGACTCTGCAGAACCCAATAGCTTACCTCAGTGCTGACTGCTTCATCTGAAGGGTTGATCAGGACCACTGTTTCTAAAACGTCACTTCTATGATGAAGGATTTTCTGTCCTGTGGGCAAAACAGCACAAACAAAGGAGGAAACCTTTAGCTTTTCTGGATAAGATGGGGCAGAAGAAGAGTTTCTGCCTCTGAGGTGACAAACCCGCACAGGGATTCTCCACATTATCCTGGAAAACACAACTGGTGTTCCTAAGCAGGAGCGTGCAGACCCCAGCAGGTTCCTCCAGAGGTGGGTCTGTGTGGTCAGGGGCTCCTCAAGCTCTCACACCCCACGTTTTCATGCTTGATCACAGGCTGCCTCTGGAGGTTGATGGCAGTTTTCTTCTGAGACAAGGGGTGGATGCCAGGAACACTCACAAGGGGCTCTTGACATTTCCTTTCTCATGGTAATTAGGAATGTTTCTCCATATCAGCCTTTCTTTGGCTGAGAACTGTGCTGAGATTAATTAGGAGCTTTATTGTGAACTGAATGACACCCAGAAACCCCAATTACAATTAGCCCAGCAATGGGAATGGCTGTCTGAGGCAGGTTTACAGTCTGCTGGGGTATTCACCAATTCATTCACTTGCTCCTAGAAAAGTGGAAGAATGGCAGAAACGTAAAGTGGTGACCAACTCTCCTGCTGGACAGGGTGGCGAAATTGCCCCCTAAAGACAAGCAAGGGGGATAGAGAACAACAATGTATTGTACAGGATGAGAGGGTTAGAAATGCGGTTGTTGTTAAGTGCTGTCGAGTCGGTTCCAACTCATAGTGACCCTGTATAGGGTTTCCAAGGAGCAGCTGGTGAGTTTGAACCACTGACATTGCAGTCCAGCGCATTAATCTGCAGCATCACGCCAGGCCTCCAGAATTCTGCTGGGCTCTGGATATGATGTGGCTGAGCCCTCACCAGGTGTAATGGATTCAGGTGTCTTCTACAAAGGTCCACCCACCCATCCCAGCTCAGCAATGAGAGGAAAGTGTTCAGGCAGATGTGTAGCTAGAAGTTAGTGACAGATGTTCTGCCATGAAGAAAGATATTTCCTCAAACTTATGGTAAGGAGGGTAGACAAGAACATGGCTGATGTTTGGAATTAAAGAAATGATGGGACAGGAGGCAATGGGATGGAATCAGAGGGGACAGACACCAAAAGAACGAAGAGTGAATAACGAAAAGCAATCTAGGGTGCATAGCATAGGTTAAGAGATTTTATTCTTTATATATCACCAATTCTAGAGGCATTGCAAAAACAGTACTAAAGAACTTACCACCATTGCTATAAACAAGCCCACCCTCATCTGCTGATCTTCCCAACAGCTAGTACATACCAAACAAACCCCTCATTAGACAAAGAAGCCCAAACTAAACAATAATAGTAATAGCTGCTGATGTTAAGAGCTGTCGAGTTGGTTCTGACTCATAGTGACCATGTATAGGGTTTTCTAGGAGTGGCTGGTGAGTTTGAGCCACTGACCTTACAGTTCAAACCAACCATGAGGTCGAGTGCTTATCCTACGGCACTACACCAGGACTCCAATAATAATAGTAGCTTATTATGAATCAGGTGAGAGAAAGATGAGGCGTCCTGCTCCCGTAAAGATTTGCAGCCTCGGAAACCCTGTGCAGGGTCACTATTAGTCGGAACCAACTCCACGGTACTTACCAACAATGATGAATCAGGCACTGTTCCAATCATGTACCACATCCTGCTTCATTTAATTCCTAGACCAGCTCTAAGACATAGGTCCTATTATCCTCTCCTTTTACTGTTGAGGAATTGAAGTCTACTATACGGGAGCAAATACTAGCCCAAAGTCACACAACTAGTAAGCAGTCAAATCAGGATTTGGACCAAGTCATTTGGCTCTAGAGCCCACATACTTAACTGCTACTACTTGTTGCCAGAGGTTGCCTACTAGTTACTGGACTAAGAGTTAGAAAATTGGAGAAAATACAGATATCACATGCCAAGGGGAATGTAGGGTTAGGTCCAAAGGAGTAAAACCAGAGGTATGCTTGAAGGAGCAACAAGCCAGAAAGCATTACGAGAAGAATGACTATTGGCAAAAAAAACAAAAGAAAGTCAGAACACCCATACAAGAAAAGGTAAAATTAAGAGAAGGTATGTGATGTTTTATTGCAAATGCCTAAACATGAAGAAACTCCAAAACTGTACACAGTTTGAGAAGGTGAAGCATTGAGCTTGGGAGAAAAAATAAAATTAAAATAAGCCACAGGAAGGAAAATTCTTTTATTATTAACACCAGAGTTGGTAATCTGTTGAACATTGTTTTGGAGCTTGGTTGTTTTTGCTTTTGACTACCAAGCACTTTTAAAGCTCAAACAAAAGAAAATCAAATTGAACCGGCACACGATAAAAGGAAATTGGCAAAACACATCACACTGTTGTCTGTGTAGGTCTTTCCATCAGAGACCGCCTAGAAATCAAAGGCTTGAAGAATGTCATGGAAGAAGTTAAGCCGAGACAAAATTAAGGCAAAATTTAAGACCAAGGAGAAAAAATGTCATTTCCTGGATCATACTTTTGACCTGCTCCCAAAACATCAGGCAGCATAATGGTGAATAACCTTTTAAGAAACCCATAAAAGTAAACGAGCAAGGTTCATAAAAGTGACTCCCTCACCAACAGATGACAGAAAAATGAGAGCTTTTTTTTTTTTTTTTTTTCCATAAGGGATCATACATGATTCTCCCAACTGTGCTAACTAAACCCTACAAGCCTGAGTGTCTGTCCCACTCAGCATGCCCTTCCCCGGGCATACAAGGATGCCTGCGACTATGGTGCTCCCTGGCAGTGGGGCTTCTTACCATCCACAAGACGTTCCTCTCCTCCTTGGCTTCATCACTTGCACAAACAAAACAAATGCCATCTGAGGGCTGCCGTTTACCTCAACACCTCCCAAGTCAGTTTTCAAACCTGTTCACCCAGGACTTCAACTAACGATTTTCTTTTTATCCATCTTTGGTAATACCGAGAGGAATATGGCACCAAGATGTCATAGTGTCTCCTTCAACAAAAGGATTTGACTTGAATGAGGGAGAGAGAAACCTCAGTTCTTGTCACAGCCCGACTGCTGGCCAGAGTCTTCCACAGGCGACAGAACCAGAGCTGGGCGTCCCAGCATCTGGCAGACCCACCCCCACCCCTGGCTGCCCCATGGAACGGCAGCTCTCCAGGCTGCAGGCGGCTGGGCTCAGGCTGTGGGATGCTGACAAAGTTGCATATTTGGGGAATGTTTCACACTGGGCAGCGGGCCAGGCATTCTGAAGGAGAGGGGGGCCACCACCCTCGGCTGTAAAGGTTTCATTCAGCTGCTTCAGAAAAGAAGTTCCCAGGAAAGAAAGACGACATGTTTCTCTCCCCACGATTATACAATCTGCAGTATTTTCTGTTCTTCATTCTGCACCTCACAAGGAAACCATTAAGCATAGCCCCTGTGAATAGTAAATTTTCCTCAGCATTATCTGAAGGAAGCCAAAGTGGGAGTCTGCAATGGAATGCTATGGTACTGATTGGTTTGCTAATAAAAAGTCTTTGAGGGTTTTCCCTACGTTAGGTGCCGTCAAGTCGTTCCACCTCATAGTGGATGTATAACAGGACGAAACACTGTCTAGTCTCGGGCCATCCTCACAATCATTGCTATGCCTCAGCCCACTGTTGTAACCCTGTGCCAATCTATCTCCTTGAGGGTTTTCCTCTTTTTTGCTCACCCTCTGCTTTATCAAGCACGACATCCTTCTCCAGGGTCTTGTCCCTTCTGATAGCATGCCCAGCGTTCATGAGCCCAAGTCTCAACATCCCTGCTTCTGAGGAGGATTCTCGCTGTACTTCTTCCAAAATAGACTTATTCATTTTTATGGAGGTTCATGGTGTAATTTAATCTTCTTCAAACCAACACCATAATTCAAATGCATCAAAATTCTTTTCCAGTTTTCCTTATTTATTGTCCAGTTTTTGCATGTCTATGAGGAGAATGGAAATACAGTGGCTTTCTCCCACACAACTTAGAGTAATTGTAATGGTTCGAGCTAAGGAAAAACAACTGTTGTTTGGGTGGTGGAAATGGTTACCCTCTCAGCTGTTAGCCAAAAGTCGAGCAGTTCAAATCCAACTGGAGACACCTTCGAAGGGTCTGGCGAGCTACTTCCTAAAGATCATAGTCATTGAAAATTCTAGGGGTAACAATCCAACTCTGAAATGACTGGGGTCGCGATGAGCTGGAGTGTGTGTATATGTGTGACATAAAAGGGGTCAGCTCCACCTCAGAATCCAAGAGGATGATCTGGGAGCATCTTAGAGCAGTAGGATCCTTGCAGACTACAAGCTTCTGTCTGTACTCTTCCCTAAACTCAATGTTGCTGAGCTGATTCCAACTCAGAAAGAGAGGCCCAGAGAAGCATATATTTCTCAGTTACTGCTGGGATGTTCTTTCTTTCTCAATATCTTAGAAATTAATTGAATCAACCTGTCTTTTCAAGTTGGGCTGCTTTTATGTTTAGCTATATCCAGGTAATTGTGAAATCCCTTAAAAGTAAAATACTACCTTCCATGCTTGTAATTTCTAGGATATTTATGGGGGTCTCCTTTCTACAGTTCAGAGTTTCTGGATAGTACAAACAGTTAATGTGCTCAGCTGCTAACAGAAAGGTTAGAGGTTTGAGTTGGAGGTACCTCTGAAGAAAGGCATGGTGATATACTTCTGAAAAATCAGCCACTGAAAATCTTCCAGAGCATAGTTTTACTCTGACACACATGGGGTTGCCACGAGTCACAGCTGATTTAACCAGTTAGATAGTTTTCTCCATAGAGTTAAAGATTCATCTAAATATATATCCATATGCCTTCTCTTCCTGGTTTAGATGAGACTGAACATGATTAAATTCAGAGACACACACAACTGCGGAAACCCTAGACTCGGTCGCTATGAGTCGGAACCGACTCAATGGCACTTAACAACACCACCATCACCATAGCTGAGGCACAGCCACAACCAAACACCCACAAAGGTCAGACCCTTCTCTGCTTTCACACACATGAGCTCTAG